TATTTCCAAAGGATGTTTTCTAGGGACTTCATACATTTCATGGATTATAGCTGAAAACTTTTTTACCAGTATTTTAGACTATGGTTTCTAATAGATTTGTGTGGAGTCCGCAGGTCTATGCAATCTTTTTGGATAGACTAAAAGTCAATAGTAAAAGCTGCCACAAATGTGGAAACTATCAAAGCATTTCGAAAAACGCTCAAAGATCTGCCACTATTTACAAAAGATAATTTATCACTCAACTTTTTAAATATAATCTGATAAATGTATAGTGAGTATTGTGTAACATAAGTAATGGAAAACAAATTTTAATTTAATTTCCCTATGATATTAACTATAGAACACCAAGAGGAGAATGAAACATTTTTTCCTTTTTTTTAAAAGACCAATGTTCAATTATATCATCTTTCAATTATATTATTCTTTTCTTCCCCCATTTTTGAAAAGAATGATCCTTTAGTAGCTTGTAAGAAATGCTTTCATATAAAGTAAATTGAAATAATAATTAACTATTTACTAAAATAACTAAAAAACCCTTTTGAACCAATAGTTTATATTTTAATATGTAATTTATATTAAGTTCATGACATTTGCTTATAGTTTTTTCAGATATGATAAAATAGTTTGTATATTTTTTGTAGTATATAAAAAGCTCAAAATGTCTGAAGTATTAGTTGTTAAAGAAGGTAGAATTTTTATTTTAATAACTATATATGAGAACATGAAACACTCAAAACAAATTTTAAATTAAAATAGCAATAAAAAATAGATTAGACTCTAGAATTATTTGCATTTTAACTACAATAGTAAAATCACTTCAAAACAATTTTTCAAGAAATAATGGGTAAACATATATAATTATCTTCCTCTCTCCCAATTTAATATCAACACGGTGTACTTTTCATGCCAAATACAAAATCTCCTATTTTAGATTCTCACATAAATTCTTGGTGGCTAATTTCCTAGGTTTCAGAAATATATTAAATCCAATCTGTTTCACCAAATTTTACTGTGGGTTTTATTTCATTGATGATTTGATAACCTGGCACTAAAGCCATTTTTTAAATTTTTATTTTATTATTAGTTTCAAGTATACAGTACATTGGTTAGACAGTTATGTAGTTTATGAAATGATTCCCCTGATTGCCCTTTCTCATCTCTGGCTCTCCACCTAGCCATTACAAACTCTAACTGCATTCCCTATGCCATGCCCCCCATTTCTATGACCATCTATCAACTACTAATTTGTACTTTTTTAGCCCTTCATCCCTTTCTCCCAGCCTCCCAATACCCCTCCCCTCTGTACATCCCAGATTGTCTTTTATATTTCTGAGTCTGTTTTTGATTCGTTTGTTCTTCTTTTCCTTAGATTCTGCATATAAGTGAAATCCTACAGTATTTATCTTTCTCTGACTTATTTCACTCAGCATAATAATCTCTAGGTCCATCCATATCATTGTGAATGGTAGGATTTAATTTTCTTTAATGGCTGAGTAATATTCTATTGTGTATGTGAACCATAATTTCTTTATCTAGTCGTCTGTTGATGGGCATTTAGGTTGCTTCCATATCTTGGGTATTGCAAATTGTGC